CCCCCCCCTACCACATATATATATATATATATATATATATATATATATTACATATATTTGACAGGAAAGATATGTATATGTATGTATGGGAACTAATAACAATAATAAATATTACCAATTCCACAGGTATCCAATTGTGTCTGCTCTTCCTTTTTGCTCATCAATATTATATCTTGCCTATTGGCATGCTGTCTACCTCTTTTTCCTATAGAATGTTTTATTTCAATTTGCTCCAATTCCTCGTCATTTCTTCCAATATATCTTTAAATAAAATATACATTATAATTAACATTTATAAAAATATAAATAAAGACATATCTTGTTTTTATATTAATTAGTACAATTCTGTAATATATTTAAAATAAAACACTTACTTTACAAGTAGTTTTACTATGTCAGTTTCCATATATGGACATAAATCTGGACACATATTTTGTTTAAGCCACATCAACTTTTCTCCTATTAATTGTTGTTTTATCATACTTGACCATTTAGATTTTTGCCGACTTATAGCTCTGATAAATCATATATAAATATCACATACCAAGTATATATTTTAAAAAATTATATTAATCATATTATAATGCATAAAAATTTATTACTTACTTATGAGTCCGTTTAACGATCGCATTTACTTTTCGACTATTTGGATGCAGAATTTTCTTCGCCTTCATAAGCTCCTTTTTTTCTTTTCGTATTTTTCCCGACTAAAAGAATTAGGAAATACTACTATAATATTAATCATATATAAGTGGATTATAATATTCTCTAAATTTTTGTTGCTATTTGTTGTATCTTGTTAAATATTGGTTATGTATATTTACCATATCTACACTGTGATATATTATTCTCTCACGAAGAGTAAATTTGGATTTTCATATAATTATGAACAAATATATCATAATCTTATATTATGATATTATCACATCTGATATCATCCACGTGTAACTCAACTGCATAATATGACAATAACGTGACATGAAGATCTAGTGTAGTATAGAGGCTGAGTTCAGAAACTCAGCTGTATGTATCCTTTATCCTTGTTGTTCATCAAATATTAAATAAGGATACCTAGATGCACTCGG